GTAAACCTAAAAAAATATTGAGATGTTACACATTTGGCTGATATATTTATAGCGACTTATCCTAGCTTCGTTCGGGTGCGTCCCTAGGTACGTTTTAATTTTTTTGAGCGGAACCCAATTCTTTTTCTAAAATATAAGTAGCTTAAGTTACTTCTTATAACATCACCTATCTACTAGTGAAAGTCCTGTCAAAATTGGCCCAGCCGTTTCGGAGATTACCCGATAGAAACAGACAGCCAGACAGACAAAAATGTTCAAAATAGTGTTTTTCTTATATGTATGTAGTTTCATATGCTCGTATGTAGTTTCATATGCATTTAGTAAAAAGCTGTTATTTCGACATTACAAACAGACACTTCAATTTTATTTATCTGTATGTATGTCTGGGTATTAATATAAGCAATTTCAATAGAAAAGAATTTTCGAATAACTTATGTATATTTATTTATATCACAGCGCGTTGATGTCTTTTAAACGAAAACGTGTTCGAAAAGTTATAATAAGTTCGAAAACTAAATTTAAGCTAAACATAACTTTAAAATGGTTTCCATACACTAGATTCTATGCGTGATATGAGCATTCACATTCGTATATAAAGAGTTAGTCAAGAGCGAGTCGGATTCACGTAAAGGAGGTTTATGAAATTTAGAAAAAAAAATCTTAAGTACTAGCAAAACTGAAGTACTAACGACTCCCTCTCGCTTCGCTTCGGGTTCGTCCCTACAAAAAAATCTATTTACTGCATATCTCTTTTTTTAATTCGTTTAAAAATATACGAGAGCTTTTTGGTCTTTCTTACAATTACTTACTATTTATATAAAAAGTCTATACCCTAGACTTCAAAATGTCTATACCCTACGATAATCGCGTTATCAAGACGAATCTAACGACGTATGAATCATCAAAATCAGTCAAGCCGTTTAGTAATTACGAGGGAACATAAATACATACACATTACATATACGTCTAAAACTTAACCCTCCATTGGACTTACCCACAGTCGGGTAAAAATATTTTTTTGAATTAACAATTTAACCTTTACCCCGCATGGGTTTTCACTTATAAACTTTCCGTGAGCTATCACGTGTTTTCTTATCCCGCGAGATAATCAAGTAATAAATAAATAAATATTTTAAATAAAACTGTCTTTTTGAATTTTTCCGCACATTTAGTTTGATTTTTGGTTCCCGACGTTTCGAATGCTTTACAGCATCCATGGTCACGGGAGAGACTGAGGTTTTAGATGTCTCAAAGGCATTATATAGTTGTTACAGCCAGCCTACCCACAATATTACAAAATGAATTCAAAAATACAAAAATGGCACCAAAGTACTCGTACCTTACAATATTTGTTAATTTTAACTTTAAACATTTTTTATACTTGGATATTATTAACATTTCCTCCAAATATAGCTTCAACCCTAGACTATGCGTTCACAAGAGCAGATTTAAAATATAATATTTTTTGAAATAAAAAAAGAAAATTTCAGACCAAGCTTTCTATAATAATTGATAATTTCTTCGCTCTTAAAAGAACATATAAGTAGGTAGGTGCATTCATCGACGTATGTGTCTTCCTATTTATATGTATGTATGTATGTATGTATGTATGTATGTATGTATGTATGTATGTATGTATGTATGTATGTATGTATGTATGTATGTATGTATGTATGTATGTATGTATGTATGTATGTATGTATGTATGTATGTATGTATGTATGTATGTATGTACTATATGAATGAAGCCTTGATTAGACCTAGTATCAAATATATAAAAAAGATAAAATAATTGTCAATTTTTACATATTTTTTAAAAGCTTCTTAGTTATTGAAGATACTTAAAGTTCATGGTAATATACAAGTTGTAAAACACTAAGCCTCTATTTTATTCTTTTTAAAATCCTCAAGAGACAACTTGAATTGAATTGCAAAGAAAAATGCTTATTTTTCCATCGCTTTACCGGAAGGAAGTTGTGCTCTGTCCTTGTAAAGCGAAGGAGCTTAGCTTAAACAACCTTTAGAAAAGTGCTTAGTGTGTTTAAAAAAAATAGATTTTTGAATTAAAAAAATAAACACGCTGCAATTTTTATATAAAAGTATGTATATATTAGGTTTTCTTTGATGCGGAAACGGCTGAACCGATTTATATGAAATTTAACACATAGATAGATTATGACCTGGAGTAACAAACATACACGAGCGAAGCCTGTGCAAGTCACTAGTGTACAATACATAAATTATTTTTGCAAATATCTCGTAAATTAATCTTAGAATTTTATCAAGATTTTTAGTAAGGGAATAAATACATTATAATTCAGAATCCGGACCATATAAAAAAAAATAAAAAAAAAATTACTTTTTCAAATATCTTATATTTAAGTAACTTTGTTGGTCTCGAAACGGCTTAGTTAGATATACTTATCTAAGTATAAGTGGGATTCAAAAGTTGAATTTCTGAGTGGGAGTTCGCACGATGAAAACGTGGTAGTTTCATTTAGTTGAAATCTAACGAAAGCTTTGCAAAAGTAGTAATATAATTAATTATTTGGATTAGTTTTCTATTGATGTTTTTTAATCGATTTAGAAAGTATCCCTTGAATAAACTTCATATTCTATAGAATAAAGCAAGAAAAATGATTCGAAAACTTACCCAATAAATTCATCTTCACCCTACCTAACCTAACCTTTTAAATAAAAACAAAGAACAAATATATTTTAATGCAAATTGAAAAAAAAATCAATGTGAGTCGTATCGATTTGACACTTTGTATATGAAAAAACCCTGTTAATAAATTATTTGATACCGACGAACCGTTCTGATGAAGCCAGAAGATGTACAGAGGAATCTTCAATGCTAATAAGTAAAATATCTGAGTTTGGGCTCACTTGAATCGTTTTGACGAGTCCCCTCAAGCCAGCTTTTTTAGTTTTGAGCTAAAGCTAGTTCCCTCTGCTGGTGCACTTGAAAACTAATTAGCGTTCCAATTAAGCATTAGCATGTTTTAGCATTAGCGCCAAAGTGCGGCATTGTGCTCTGTAAAATATTGGAAAACAGGGAGTTTACATGCTGTCGTCAGCTTCAACTAGTGTGGAATGAATATTTGAGTCGTATAGAATCAATGGCGGCTATCTCATTTTCAGTCATTTTTGGGTAAATGAAAAAAACGTTTTGTAGAGCACAAAGTAGTCATATTGTATTACTGGCCATTATTATAGTACTAAAGATTTAGGATACTTTTAAAACATAAATAATACTTTTACTTTTATTATAGCGTACCTATTTTAAAATCAAATATTAATATAGCCACCTATGATACTAACATTTGAAGATTTCCGAATGTGATTCCGTGTTTAATAGGATCTTACGAAGATTACCTCTTATGATTCAAATGCACTACTGTGATTGGTCGAGTGATCATTAGCGCCGAGTTTGATTCTGAGTACGCAGAAGATTGCCGTCTTTGAAACTAAACAACGATTTAACATAGCATTTGCAAGGAAAATAGCCGCCTTTGGTGCTGTGTTGTCAAATAAAACCGTTTAATTCAATGATTGAAATTTTTGGGTATAGATATCTAAAAACTGCCAAAAAATAAGATGGCCACCTTTGATTCTATGTGATTCATTTATATCTATTGAATTGCAGCTGTCCACACGGGCTTACACAAACGCGTAATGGCAAAAAAGTGGGTTTTTACCCGACTGTAGCGTCCCCCAAAAAGGGGTTGTTTTACCTAATTATTACTTTTTTTAATAAAAAGGACATTATTTTCTAAATTAATTTGGGATAGATTTTATCGATATTCATAATGTACCACCCGTAAGGGTTAAAACGTATTATTTTGAAAAACGACGTTAAAACAAAATAAAAAGCAACCGAATTGAGTACCTCTTTTTTTGAAGTTGAACAAAAATTCTATTAAAATCAATAATATACATTTGCTCCACAAAACGTTCTTAAAATGATAGAAGTTAAAATATTCTAATACCTGTGGCTTATGTCTTAATTTATAGGAAAAATATAAATAAAACCCATACGCAGAAGCTTGTATTCAATTTTCTAATTCTAACACCAAACATTTACCCTCATATTAATTAATTATAGAGCTGTTTATTTTAAAACTTCGCTTAATTATTTTGCGAATTAAAAGTCAGTACATTTGACTGGACGTTATGCAAATCCAAACAAAGTTTGTGGACGACGCCGCGGGCCAAGGTTAGAGTAGGATCGTACATTAATATTCTTGTTTATATTTTTGTTGCAAATTTTTGTATATTTTAATACCTGATTATATTCGAATATTTTGCGAAATATTTTATTTGGCGGTTTGAGGTGCTTTTAAAGTTATGTTATTCTAGAAGCCTTTAGGACTAACTAACTATATATATATATATATATATATATCTATATATATATATATATATATATATATATATATACACATATATATATATATATACGAGTATATAGCAGGCAGTAGTAGAAAAGTAGTAACGCGCTCGCTTGGGAAACCGAGTGAAGCGGGTTCAAATCCCGGGTCTCGTACCTGATATTTTCATGTGCGAATCATTTCCAACATAATTACCAATTGTCTCACGGTAAACTTCTACTGATAGTAGAAGACTAAGTTTGTCAGCTTATTTTAAAGTCTGATTAGATTTTTTGTGTTTAACAATTTTTAATTCATATTCATAACTTCGTTTCAGTAGTCGTGATTAAAAACCAGACTATCCATTTTAAATCTATTTCTTCATATATATATATATATATATATATATATATATATGTATGTATGTGATGATATATATATGTATGTACTGCGCCGACCCCAAGTAATTGGGAAATGGGCAGGGAGAAGAAGAAGAAGATGTGATGATATATATATATATATTATATATATATATATATATATATATATATTCATATAAAATAAAATAGCCTTTCACATCTGTGCTGTTATTTATTTTAAATACCACTTATTATTTTTACCAAGGAAATGTGGCGTTGGGCGTTTGGTGTGGCGATGATTTTCGCCGCGCTTGTCGATGCTAACGCCTTCAAAAGGGCAGAGAGTAAGTACGAGTATATTGTTGTTCTATCTATTTTATTATATTTAATCTTAATACTTTGCTCCATTTCCATTATGAAGTGAAATAATTTTCATTTACCATTTCATAACAATTAATGAGTTCCTTAGATTTACGTGAAAATTTGACATTTTAAATAAAACTATCTTTTCGGATTTTTTCGCGAATTTATTTTGATTTTTGGTTTCTTTCCCGTGACCATGATTGCTGTCAATGAAATGAATGAGTGAATGAAAAATATTTGCCCACAAATACATGGCAGTTAGACCTAATGTTTAGCTTTAAGACATGTATATATTATAACCATTGATTCAGTATCTATTAGTTTATTTAGTGGATGGACCTCCCACAATGTCCACTGCTTGGCTGATCGAGTGTTGTGGAAATCTTTGGAGACAGCCATCATTTCCAATATGATTACCACTAGTCTTACGGTGAATAAAAACATAGCGAGGAAACCTGCATGTTTGAGAGAACCTAGCAAGTTTAAAGACATGCTCAGTCCAGCCGCACTTGGCCAGTGTGATGGACTATGGCCTGATCCCCTTCGTATTGAAGTGAGACCTGTGCCCAGCAGTGGGATGTTAAAATGGCAGAACATATACATATGTAAAAGAGTTTTTTGGGTGAAATATGATGACGATGATGATAGTCAGAAACGTCACTCTAAGTTTGGTATTTTTGAGTATAAGAACCGGTGATAGGTTCACAGTGCTTATCATAATAATTAGTCACCGTGCATTTCAATTTATCGTATATTAAAGGGTTTTTTTATAGATTTAATTCTACTAGAGTTGCCCGAGTGGTCAAAATTCATGATAGATAACACTAAAGCTTTTGAGTAGTTACTAAACAAAAAAAAAAGAAAATCTTTGACAAATGAAGATAAAGAAGGTCCCGAAAGACATTTGTCTTTGCCTATTTATGTATAAATATTATATATTTTGTTTAGTGTCCGCATCCCCATTCGTACTGAGCTCTCGGTACGGGCGGTCTCCACCTCGCATGCTTGCCCCACGGAACGACAGGTATTTTTTTATTTTATTATCAGTTAACAGTTTAACATTTTTTTCTATGTATATAACAATAGCGACCCACCCTCACTCCCCTCAGGTTCGTCCCTAGTAAAAATCTATACTAAACGTTAAAACGTATTTAAAGTTAAGTATAGATTTTTCAGAGATGAGATATTTTCTCGCAGTAAATAGTATCCTGTATGTTGACCCAGATAACCAGCTATCATCATACCAAATTGCATCAAAATCAATCCAGTGCTTTATCCGTGATGCGGTCACAGACAGACAGACGGACATTAATTCTAAAAACTATAGATTCGGCCTCTGTATCGATAATAATGATTATTTCAATAAGATTTTCCAAAAAATATTTAATGTACAGATTCAACTTAGAATTTTATTATATGTCTGGATAAAATTTTATCCAAATCTGTCCAGCCGTCTCAGCATGAAGAAGTAACAAACATAAACACATACTCAAAAGTACAAATTTTTGTATTTCGCGTAATTGTATTAGCGCAATTTTTGCAGGACAGATTCCCCTAATATTTTATATATATATATTTTTCTCGGATTTTATATCATGTACGTTCATAGTAAATAGTTAAAATACAGACAGACATCTATAACAGTAGCGTATGCCTTTGTCATCAGATCTATGGAACTCTAAAAATAAGTCCTTTTTGACTTTTATGGCTACGCCGCTCCTACGAGACTAATAAAACAGCTTAATATATGTATAAAGAATACGATCGCCGCATGTAATAGCTTTTAATTTAACATCACGCAAAATGGTTCTTACATTCAAATGAAATCAAAGAGACAGTTAAAGTAATTGTCGGTGTAAATTTAATTATCAATTTGAAATGCCATTTTGGATTGGTTGGGAATGATGAGTTTTCTTTTAGCCTTTTGCTGTGCGCGTATAAAATACTCGTATTTAGAGAAAAATATGTACCTATATTTAAACTAGCAACCAGCAAACGTTGCTTTGCCATATGAATAAATTAAATATACAAAAAAAAATCATACAAAAATCCTAAAATCGCGATTAAAAATGGGAGGTGGGGGTAGGAGGTGAAAAATACTTTATATCCTATTCTTATACCTACCAAATATATAAAAATATCATTGAAATCGGTCGAGCCGTTTCGGAGGAGTGCGACTACAGACACCGCGACACGAGATATTTATATATTAGATTATATGAATGGATGATGAAAAAAAACGTGAAAATCGAAAGGTGCGACCTTTTACAAAAAAAAAAATATTATAAAATTGTAAATTTTTGTAAAATTGCAATTGCGTTGTAATTAAGAGATTAATTTCATTAAAAAAATATTCGTAAATAAATTCGTCCCTGCATTCAATTCCATACCATGGCAACATCGCAATGTGTTCTATCTCATTCTCTCGTCGGCTTATTCCTTTTATATTTATGTGTTTGTCTCTTTTTAGTGTCACATTTTCGTTTCATCGAGTTCCAAATCACAACGATTCTAAAGAAGTTTCACTTAAAAAATATATCGTATTTGTATTATAATATTATGCAACAATGAGAGTTCTATTGAATTCGGTGGAGCTATTCCATATTAGCGGTTACAATTTTTTTTTAAAGTAGAGGAATGAATGTAAAAAAAAACTATAAAAGTTAAATAACAGGTTGCTTGTATCTGCTAATTCGTTCATGTGAATGACAATAGCAAATCTTTTCCTAGGGAACTTTATTACATAAACACACACACAGACGGACAAAAACTCTAAAAATTATAGATTCGGCCTCTGTATCGATAATAATGTCTATTTAAATAAAATTTCCAAAAAAAAATATTTAATGTACAGAGTCAACTCAGTTAGAATTTTATTATATGTATAGATTTTTGTACAGGTTCTTTATGAGTGGTCGCTATGGAAAACGATCAGATACTCTAGAAAATAACGAAAGAGTTAGCTTCTCGATGACTGACAGCATCCAGAGTGAGGAAGAAAGATATAAAGAAAATGGAGAAGAAAAGGAGATAGAAAGAGACAGAGATATATTGCCTAAATGGAAACCACAGTGCGACTGCACGCCGTTTACAAAGTCGATGCCACTAAGAAACTTTTATAAAAGGTAATTTAAAAATTAAAATGTATTTACTGTGTTCAAATTAGATTTAAATCGATTTTTGAATACTTAGACTTTGAAAAAATTAAAAAGATATGATTCAACTAGATATTCACCTTCTGACTCCATAATAAAATTTAACCATAAAGAAATGTGGATTAAAAAAATATTCAATTCAATTCAATGTTAATAGCTTCAAAGCTAAAAAAATATTACAAAGTAAAACTAATGGTTAATGAACGTGCCAACACTTTGCTAATTTTTTTTTATTATTAACAGGAGATCTGAGGCTTTCGATCCAGCTTCCGAAGAAGAATAAACACAAGGCTACTTTCATTCCACTGTTTTCTTTACATATCATCAATATATTCTTAAGAAGAAAGCAGTTAAATAAATATGTCGTATCTAATCATTACATAATCTATAATATTGCGAGTATGTAACTTTTTCTTATATTGTATTTTCATCCTGCCATGGGCGCCGAGAGGGGGATGCAAGGGGGTGCACTCGCAATCCCCTGCCATTAAGGAAAGTATATAGAAATAGTTAAAGAAATAAAATTGTATCAGTAAAATCCCCGTTTTTGTTAATTTTTGATATCTACGAAAAAATATGATAAATAAGATATGAACAAAAATTTTAAAGTTAATCATTTAAATATTAGTTTAATGTGAAGAAGCAGATGCACCCCCTGGGAAATAATTCTGCCGCCGCCCATGTAACCTGCTATGTTCGCCAAAGATTAGATTTTAACTAGAAATGACTATTAGACAGGAGTAGACTTAAGTTAGAGAAAAAGTGTTTTTTTTTATTTATAAAGGTTTTTTTATGTATTAAGTTATTTTACAAAATGTTTCATTTTAGCTCATGCCAAGTTAATGGCTGGGAACTTGGCATAAGCAAAGTTAACTTGAGTTTTTATTTCCCTTTTCTCTAATTCCATTATTAAACTTATTACTATATATTTGCCAAATCTGCTAAGTTATTTATGATTCAGATGTAAAATATATAATGCTATGTGTAATAAAGTTAACACGAAATATAATGAATTTTATTATTTATTCTCACCTGTAGATTTTCACATACCTCCTCTCCTTGTTTTCGACATATTATATATATATATATATATATATATATATATATATATATATATATATATATAATATTATATAATTATCTTCTATAGGTACATATAAATAAAATTGAAGTGTCTATCTGTGATTTCAAAATAACTATGTTTTCTCAAGTAAATAGAGTTATTTATACTTGTATATACCAGAACCTAAATAACCATTTTTTAAATTTTTGTCTGTCTGTCTATCTATGTATTTAGATACATTTCATACAGATAAAACTAGTTATTGAAATTAAGTGTGCCTTAGAAGATAGACACATGCTAACCCAGACTTTTCTGTAGGCATTTTAAGACCTATAATTTTCTAGTATTGCTTTGAAGTATCTCTAAACGTTTAGCCGACGTTAGAAAATTTTGTCAAACCACCGTTTACACTCAATCATTTTGTACAACATATTTGGAAATCATATACATGAATCTAAAATTGTATTTTTCTTTTAGTGTAAACTGTATCAAACTCCATTGCGTGGTTTAGAGGAAGGAAGCAGAAAAACAGACAGATGCAGACAGCGACTTTGTTTTATACTATATATTGATATAGAGAGATTCAACGGTTAAAGAAAAACTAAGCAGACCACAAAATTAAGGGCTTGTTCCCACGATCTACTCTAACACTTCTTTGCTTCTTCGACTTTGTTGTCGGTTTGTTACAGCATTATATGCAATATCAGTTAAAACCATAGACATAGAGAGTGGACTGTTTCTTTGACAGCCGTCAGCTAAAAATGGCGGACAGGCGCGACAGAGACAACACGAATGTGCGGCCAGAAGGCTTCTGTATTAATTGAAATACGATTAATGAAGATAGATATTTATAACCATTTTTCATTACATTATAATATTATAATTAAAAAAAATATATAATATTAGAATTAATATTAAGGTATTATTGGCCGCACGGTCGCTTTCTCTGTTTCTAGAGAGCGGTCAATTTAATGAGAGTATTGCTCAGTCCATACTTTTAAGTTTATGGTTAAAACAATGGCAATATCTGTCACAAAGATAGCATTCTTAAAAAGTTATTGGTTTTTTTTAATGTTCCGATAATTGCAATTTTTTTCCAAATAGTGGATGAAAACGTAAAACAGCAAATTTATTAAAGTTTTGTGTTTAGGGTTCCGTAAATAAATACAAAACAATTAATATTCTCGTGTACTACTTAGCTCTAGTATACTCTGGTGATAGTTTAAATGGCTAAATTCTTCTGACAACTATGTTTCCCGAGCTAATTAATATGACATACTAGCATTGCCCGCGGCTCCGCCCGCGTTCAGATGATTAAAAACCAAATGCTTAGGTTTTACATATTAGTATACTTTTACAATGCAGTTATTGTATTTTTTTCTCAGAAATGAGATATTTTCCCGCGATAAAAAGTATCCTATATGTTTACCGGGATAACCAGCTATCATCTTACCAAATTTCATCAAAATCTCTCCATTAGTTTTTCTGTGATGCGATAACAGACAGACAGACAGACAAAAATTCTAAAAACTATAGATTTGGCCTCAGTATCGATAATAATAACTATTTCAATAAGATTTTCCAAAAAATATTTAACGTACAGATTCGACTTAGCATTTTATTATATGTAGGTATAGATTTAATGATGGTACGAAACCCTTGGCATGCGAGTTAGACTCGAACTTGTCCAATTTTTTTTTTATTTCACAAAGGAGTTCTGACGAACTCAAAACCTCTTTTTTACTCAATTATAATATTAATATTTTGAACATATTAAAATATTGATATTTTAAGGACCCTGCTAACTTGAAATCATTTTACAATTAAGTAATATAGAACTACAAAATTAAGTTAAGAGTTACTCGTAGGAATTATTAAGCTTAAGATTCGAACCCTTCCTAAGGTACGAATGACGTACAATAAAGTGGAACTTGTGTGAGGCATTTCGTATGTAAATTGATTAAGCTGAGCCTTTTGTAAAATCGTGTTTATTCGATAAAGATATGAAAGCGTTTTTCGTTTTAAAATAAGACACCTATGTAGATAAAGCTATAAAGCAACACCTTATCTATCTATACATATAATAAAATTCTGAGTCGTATCTGTACATTAAATGTTTTTTGACAAATCTTATTTAAATAATCATTATTATCGATACAGAGGCCGAATTTATAGTTTTTAAAATTTTTGTTTGTCTGTCTCTCTGTCTGGGAACCCATGACGGAAAAGCACTGGAAGGATTTTGATGAAATTTGGTATGGTGATAGCTGGTTATCCGGATCAACATATAGGATACTTTTTACCGCAGGAAAATATCTCATCTCTGAGAAATCTATACTAAACGTTAAAACGGAGCGAACGGGTGAAGCGCTTCTCTGAATATAAAATTTGATCCAAGTCGTATGAACCGTTTCCAAGTTACACGAAATAAACTTATTAAAAATAAATCATCAAAAGTACTTTATAGATAAAAAATCTGCCCTTTATAGTACAACATTTCATTTATAAAATAGTTTGTGACATAATGGAAAATAAAAATTAAAAAAAACCGTAGTTTAAAAAAAGGCTAAAACGGCTTTAAAGTCATGTCCACATTATTGACATGTGACATGTTTTACACTTGCTCACAAGTAGCAAGACTCACAAGTCTTGCTACTTGTAACGTCTCCAACTGCATAATACTATTCCTTTCTTCCTACTATTTCTTCGTCGTTGTTCATATCTTTTTACCCGACTGCGGCGAAGCCCAAATGACAGTTATGTGTTTGACTTGTATGTATGTATGTATGTATATATATGTGTATGTATGTATGTATGTATGTATGTGTGTATGTATGTATAGTATAACAATGCGCTAATTTGTGTTTTGAAAAAAAAAACTGATGAATCTTCAAAAATTTTACTTCTACTTATCTCACGTGTTCGGTCACAAACTTAGCATTGTCCCTCATAGTTATATTATGGAATACAAATTAATTTGTACAGAAAAAAACTAGAAAAATAAATATTGTAAATAGGTAAATATTTCATTGCACTTTTAACTTAACCAATAAAAATGTTTAATCAGAACATATAATATTATATGTTTTATGCTACGGAACTCTCTGTTTGCGAGTCAGACTCACCCATCTGCGATTTTTTTTAATAATCATAACTATTATTTGTCCTTCTCTCATGCAGCTCGATCTTTTATTGGCCAGAAATTATTTCCCATGAAATTTCTATCAAAAAATATTTCATTAGTAAAGAAGTAAAATATACTAGTTTGTTTGTATGTTTGGGATTTTCTCTGGAACTATCGAATTGAAATAAAATTATTTTTTCACTTTTTCTTCTTCTCGGACGATTTTTTCCGTACTTAGGCAGCATTGCCCATTGTACGTGAGCTTGTGCTCGTTGTGTGTTATTCTATCCACCCTAGAGCGTCTAAGTAGTCTATCAGGTTGCCGGTATCCTGAAAGATTTATGGGAGCGACCTTTTGCGACCGAGTTTTTCTTCGCGCAAGTGTTTTTTTTTTCACTTATAAAACACTGAACTACAAACGCAACCGCAGGCAAAAGCTACTAATTTAGATAGCTTTGAGTCATAGAAAAATCACATCCCATCGCATTAGTTGAATCATGTTGCTACGAGTACGTTATCAGCGAAATCAAGCGTGTAGTGACACTATCCAGTACTCGGACTATCGAAACATAACCACTCATTGCTAATTACTTGTGTTCTTTTATGCCTATCATTTCCTTTTACTTTGCCGCCACGAACTGTAAATATTCTATACGAAATTATAAAGTGCGAGTCTTTTTCGCCACAAAAAAAACATATAATACAAAAAAAAACAAAAAAAATGGAATATCGTAATAAAAAAGATTTTTTTTTTAGGAATACTCTTAAATCGCACTTTAATGTCCCATACATTATTATATTTTAAACTATCTAAAAACTAACTATCATGGTAAATTATATTAAATTTACATATTTATGAATGCAGCTTTATCGATTTTTTTTGCATCCGCTGGCACTTGGAAAATTACTGATTTTAGATAGAGATACCTATTGCAAATAATGAAAGTAGCGCCAGTGATAGAGAAGTTGAAAATTTCATTCAAAATCGTTTGAGTTTGTATGGACATGTGATGAGGAGGGATAAAAGAAAACAGGATAAGCAAAAGAAAGAAGTGAATTATGAGGTGACGAGCAATAGGGGAGAGTGGAAGAG